GCTTTAGGGTTTGGCGTTTAGGGTTCGAGTTCAGAATTCAGGGGGTTAGGCTTTAGCGTGTTGTAGTACTGAAGCGAACGCTTTGGCTTCGCTAGTCCCCGAGTAAGGAGGATTAGTGTTTGGGGTTTAAGGTTATAGGCCTGAATATTTAGAATAGAGTGTTGGGGCCCATTCTACTATAACTATAATAAGGAACCCCCAAACTAGTATTGGTAATTATTTAGGCCACTTTTTTGGGGCCAAACATGGGCATGGCTAGTGCTGCGAAGGGATCTTCTCATAATTCCGGGTCGTGCTTTTTCGTTGTGGTTGCCAACCGATGCGGAAGTTGCATACCGCGTCTACGTCCTGGGGCGTTAATATGGCCTCTATGCACAGGCAACTAACTGTGTTGTGGACCGCGCTGTCCCGTGGTGAGCTAACAACCTGCTCTGGCATCTTATGCTGAGAAGCTATCCGACGATCTACTTAGACGTCTCGCCGCACAGTATGCCTCCCAGGTGGATATCTGACAAATAACTTTATTCCTGTTGGCTCGTTTTGGTAGGCTTTAGGACTTGGGATATTTTGCGGTTGGGGTAGGGTTTGGCGATGTATAGGGTTTTTGCGTTTGGGGCTTACAGGGTGTAGACGTCAGCGTCTGACATGCTCTTCTTTGCACGATTTGGGTTGCTGCACATCGTCGCATATGGAACGACACTAGATCGATAGATATTGTTCCATAGTTACATACATAGGTACTGTTCAATCATCTTGCAGAGTCTCGGTATCTGATACCAACGCTCGACCACTCTGACACCCTGAAACATTTCTCGCAAACCTTCTGAGCTCCTCGTAGTCCTCCTCATCGTCTTCGTCCTTGGGACCTGGAGAAAGATAAAGATTAAAAACAACCCAACATCAAAAAATGATTATAACAAATGAAACAATTCTCCTGCACCAGCTCTAGCAAAAAACAAGGGTGGCGGATCAAGAAAAATTCAAGTTTGGATCAAAACAGTTTACTGTAAAAGCAGGGATCAGTAGTAGTCGTAGTAGAGCTAGTACAAGTAGTAGTAGTAGTAGTAGTAGTAGTAGTAGTAGGAGGAGCAGCAGTAGTAGTAGCAGTAGTAGTAGTAGTAGTTGTTGTAGTAGTAGTAGTAGTAGTAGTAGTAGTAGTGGTGGTAGTAGTAGTTGTTGTTTTAGTAGTACTTTTAGTAGTAGTTTTAGTAGTAGTGGTAGAAGCAGTTTTTGTAATAGTTTTAGTCGTAGTCGTCGTAGTAGTAGTAGTAGTAGTAGTAGTAGTAGTGGTACTAGATCAGGAGCACATCCAACTAGTACCAGCCGTGGGAAACTCCAGTTTGTAGAGTTCTGTCCTGCCGCCATCTATTCGGGAATTGCAACTTACAAACGGCTGCGTCTGTGTTTCGCAGCAAACTGCTACAAAACTTTGCTGCAACCTAATGGGAAATCGCAATTTTTAAGGCGGTGTGGTGCAACAAACTATTGGGAAGTCGCCATTTCTGCAGCATGAGACTGCGGGGACTTCCAAGGTATGACATCTTTTGCAAACACGATGCCTGCATATGGGGTTTGAACTGCTCTATATACGAGTATTGTGCTTGATGCATTTGATGGCGCGATGCTCTTGAAAGCAAGCTCGCACGGCATTATGAAAGGGGTGCACAGCCTCTCTCCCGTTCGCAAACACAAGGCCCGTATGATGGGTTGTGAACGGTTTCAACTGGGCTGTCTACTTGAAGGCACGATGCTTCTGAAAGCAAACTTGCACGGCTAAAGTTCCAAAACCTTTGCATAAACAATGCCAATATGATGGTCTTTGCAACTTTGAATGGTTTCATAAGAGTTCTGGGTTTGACCCAAATCTTTTTGTCGGATGGATGTTCTTGAAAGCAAGCTTGCTCGATCCTCCTTCCTTCCTTTCTTCCTCTGTCCTCCTCCCTTCCTTGCTTCCTGCCGTTCTGTCCTTCCTTCATGCTGTCCTTCCTCCTTCCTTCCTTTCGTCCTCCTTCTCCCGTTTCTCTGGTTTGGCTAGTTTGTCGATCCAAATTTGCTTTTGAAACCCAATTCTTTTTTTGATCCAATTTCATCTTTGTCGATCCTTATTTGCCTTGGGTTTAGGGATGGGACGGTTCCGCGGGATTCGTAGGGTTGAAGCATTCGATCGGAGGCAGTCTTGAACTGAAGACCAAGCGTATGAGATCAACAATAACAGCAATATATCTCATCTGAGCAACTATGTTGGTACATGAAGAACTCAAAACCCGCACCCAACTCAGTATATATGGTACCATACATAACCCTAAATTTCCCCGCAAAGGCGACTTCGCTCGGCCTGACGGCCCTCAATGGCAGTGCGAGAGAAAAGCCGTGAAAACCCTGAAGACCTATGAAAACAGGATATTAGGGATCCTCTTATAAAATATCATGGTTACGATGATACTATAAAGGCTTTTTCTGCACATGTTCTTTAGCCTGACCCCCTGCAAGACCCCATCAGCGCTACAAACACTTCTGATATGCTGACAGAGCACTCTTACAAAACCCACCATAACCCTCAAGTCCGTCTGAGCGGACCTGTCAGAGGCTGCCCAGAGGGGTCCACTGCAATCGGAGGCCGCGTCTTAATGTAAGCCTGGCGCTGTCTTTTTTGGGGCCTTGGGTTCAGGGTTTCGGATTTAGCGCTTAGGGCTTGAGTGGAGGCTTTCCTGCCTCATGGGTAGAATATAATAAAAGATCGTTGATATTTAGTTAGAATAGAAAATAGTTACAAGGTATCACGTAATTCAATTATAATAGAATAATATAATATGATATTATATGGTTATACTCTCGAATAATCTCATCTAATCCAATATAGGGACCTGAATAGTTAGAGTTAAGTATAAACTATACAAGGAACCCTGAGGAATCACAGCGGTAAGTGTTCAGGCGCCCTATATCATAGACCCCGTTCACAAAAACGGTTGATGACATAAATCGTAATTCCCATAGCTAGGGTTTAGGGTTTAGGGTTTTGATGACATAAATCATAGTTCCCATAGCTAGGGTCTTTATGAAGGTAATGTAGGCTTCATAGCATCCACAGCAGTAACCCTTTGCAGAACCCTTCAAGGAATCTTTCCGAGGCAGGTTGATTCAGGGCCTGACTTTTGGAGGATGAAGAGAGGCGGTCTTGCGGTGAAGGCTTGGAGGGTTTAGAGGGTTTAGGGTTTAGGGTTTAGGGTTTAGGGTTTAGGGTTTAGGACCGGCCCGGGGGCGTAGATTTAGCTCAGGCTGTTGAGGGTATTTAGGGTTCAGGCTTAAGGGTCTTTTTGCGCTTCCACTTCTGTCAGATCCGAGCTTGTGTTTTTAGGACTTCGGGATCAGGGCTAGGGGTTTAGGGTTTAGGGTTTAGGGTTTAGGGTTTAGGGTTTGGGGCTTTGTTTAGACGTCCCTTTTCCGTTTCGCCAGGGTCTGGGTTTCGGGCTTAAGGGGGAAATGCCTAGGAAAGCTCGAAGATGACGTGTCGACGGCATGCCAAGCCTGCCGGACCCCCGGACCCCCAACTCCTTCAACCCACGGGTTTAGGTTTGTTTTTTGGTGGGTTTAGGGTTTGGGGTTTAGGGCTGAGGGTTACGACTCAAAAACTCGGGTCTAGGTCTAGGGCGTAGGGCTTATGGGTTTAGACTCAAATCACCTTTGCAGGCACCTTCCTGTACAGAGGCGTCCAGCTGTTTGGAGTCGTCTCCTTCGAAGGCAAATGATGCGAAGAAGATGCAGGGCTTCAGGCTTCAGGTCTGGGATGCTGTTTAGGGTTTACGGTTTAGGGGTTAGGGTTTAGGGTTTAGGGTTTCTACAACCAAACATCTAGAGGCGACTGGAGCTCCTAAATTTCTAGCATCGTTGAAGGCCGGAAGAGTGCAAATCCGAAACCCAAACCCCCTTGTCTTCTATCTGCCATCCCTGAAACCCCAATTGCTACAACATTCGATAATCTGTTGATGCTTCACGGGATGTGCCCAGAAATATCCACCTGCACCGTCGGGGGGGGCTCCGCTCAACATAGGTCACGGCTCCACCTTAAGATTTGGCCTGTCCCTAAACCCTAAACCCTAAACCCTAATTGGCCTGTCCCTAAACCCTAAACCCTATGCAGAGTGGGTGGTCAGACCGAGGTAGGGTTCCTTTTTTCAAGGGCCCTTTTCCGTCTGCCGAAGGCTCAGGAACTCACCTTGTGAGAGGGTTTTACGGGGATAGCAGCGTTTCGGGCGCAGAATTGAAGGTTTTGGGTTTGGGGTTCAAGAGGCCATAGCAAAGATGACGCGGCCAGCTGGGAGTATAGAAATTAGAGCTTCGGAGTAGCTGCGGTTCACGCTCACACCCGAAATAATCAATCCTTATGTCTCTCAAACAAGTCAATCGGCGAGGCTCAACAACATTGACTGCTGCGAATTCACTAAATCTTCGTGTCAGTGATTAAAAAAAACAAATCAATCGAATTTTCGGGCCTGGTGGGGTTCTATTCTTTTGTTGGATCAGGGAGCACTCAGGAAAACCCTATTTCAAAGCCTCAACCCTAAGCCCTCAACCCTAAGCCCTCAACCCTAAACCCTGAGCCCTTAATCCTAAACCCTAAACCCAAAGCCCTAAACCCTAAACCCTAAACCCCAAGCCCTAAACCCTAAACCCTAGACCCTAAACCCTAAACCCTCAAGAACACACCCTGGTCTCCGATGACTCGAAGATGACGACCCCTGGCTGCGACAGGATGTTGTCATCATCGGGGGCGCCTGCAAGTTGTGTAGGTTTTGGGGGTTTGGGAAACGGAGTTTAGGGTTCAGGGTTTCTTGAGGTTTTTGGGGGTTTGGGGTTCGAGTTTAGCGTTCAGGGTTTTTTGAGGTTTTGGGGGTTTGGGGTTAGAGTTTAGGGTTCAGGGTTCGTGGGCGTAAAATTTGAGGGTTTAGGGTGTTTAGGGTTTAGGATGTAGGACTTAAGGCTTTGACTCTGAACCATCGTTGCAACGACCGCTGTCCCGAACCCCGAAGATCACGACAAACACAACGAAGACGAGCTGATGAGGTTGTTGCTGCTGTTGCTGCCTCTGCTCTTGATGTTGTTGGTGTTAGCATTGTTGGTGTTGCTGTTGCTGGTGCTGCCGTGGTTGCTGTGGACTATAGATGGTGCTTCTTGCTGTTCTTCTTGTGAGATGTTGCGAAACTCCATCCAAATCGAAGGTGCATGATGGACGCGATCCCCTTCAAACCCCTTACCCCAAACCCTAAACCCTAAACTCTGCAACACCGCAACCCCAAGCCTAAACCCCGATACCTAAGCTTCAAGCTCTCAAGCCCGCGCCTAGCCCCGTCACGGACACCTCCAGCTTCGGCCTCAAGGGAGGAAGAAAGGACACTCAAGATGGAGCTAACTCAACCTGGTGGTGATGGTGGCAATAGTGATGATGGTTCTCGTGATGGTGGCGATGGCGGGTAGTCCCCGAGGTTTAGGGTATAGGGTGTAGCGTTTAGGGTTTAGGGTTTAGGGTGTAGGGCTTTAGGGTTTAGGGTGTAGGGTGCAGGGTTTGGGGTTCAGGGGTTTAGGGTTTTAGAGTTTAGGGTGTAGGGTTTAGGGTTTATCAGGTATCTTGAACGACAGACATCGTTCTCTTCTTTGTCGGCTTGCCAGTCTCAGCACTCTCGCAGCTTCTAGTCAAAGATGCTTTTCTCTCCTCTGCGTGTGCCTATGCTAGATACTGTGCCTTTACAAACATGCTAGGATTGATGTCGTTTAGAATGATGAAAGATGAAAAAAATGCTGCTGTGGTGATGCTCAGTACAAGTTTCATTGAAGCCTCTTCGGGCTCCAAAGGCAGATGCCTCAGGCGACTCTGCTTTTCGCTTGTGCTTTCCTGTCTACTATGATGGTTGACCTTCCTAGTCTTTCAACATAACACGGCGAAGGCCATCAGCACATCATGGAGACTACAGGAGATGCTACTGTGTTCTCATACAGGCGTTCCTATTCTTTCTTGCACGAGTACTGTTTATCTCAGAGGCAGTGGTAGTACTACTCGTCGTCGTCGTCGTCGTAGTAGTGGTAGTAGTCGTGGTGGTGGTGGTGGTGGTGGTGGTGGTGGTGGTGGTGGTGGTGGTGGTGGTGGTGGTGGTGGTAGTAGTAGATATATATATATATATATAGTAGTAGTAGTAGCAGCAACAGCAGCAGCAAGCAAAAGAAGCACAGCAGTCGCAGCTGCAGCGGCAGTGGCTGTGGCAACAGCCGCAGGAAGAAATAGGAGGAGCAGGAGGACGAGCAGTGAGAAGAGGAGGAGGAGTAATGGTTCCAGCAGTGCGACTGCAACTTCGACTGCGACGGCTACTACTTCTTCCACTGCCGCTAGTACTTACGCTACGACCGCTCGCCAAGGACAAGGCAAGGAGGTGTAGATGTAGGAGCTCTTGGCATCCTCCCCATCGGAGAAGACCCCGGATGCTGATCCTGCGTGGAGCCCCGTTCTTTCCGTCTTCGGGCTGTCGGGGTGTAACGATGCCCAACATGCACGCTTGGTTTAGTTTAGGGTTTAGGGTTTAGGGTGCTTCTTTGGTTTAGGGTGTCGGGCTTAGGGCTTAGGAATGCCTTTAAAGTTTTGGCGCTTGAGGCTATGTGGGCTTCAGGCTTTTCCATTGCGTGCCCAACAACACAGTCATATAGGAGCCCTTATAATTAGAGTAGGGTCTTGGGGTCCATGGTACTACAGTTATAATAAGTAACCCCCAAAATAATATAGGTAATTATTAAGGCCGCTACATGAGAGGCTTGCGGTTTGAGGCTTCTCGAAGGGCCCGGAAGAATCCTTCCTCGTCCCGAGGAGGATTGACGGTGGCTAAAAGCGCGTGTCTGCGAGGTCTCTAGGAAGAAAGATTTTAGAGGCACACAAGAAGGCCTGATGCACAACCCAAACAGCGAGCATGAGCCGCACACGAAACTATGAGTGTGGGATTCGCGGAGTGAAACACTGCTGGAAATAAGAAGGAGCAGGCTGTAATACTGAATCATCACAAAAACAGACCATGACAACACTGAACCCGTCAACCACCAACTACAGTACATCATATACTCTCCCAAATCGTAACCTAGAAAAACCCTAAACCCTAAACCCTGAACCCTAAGTACCTAATTCCTGGGTCCGTTGCACCAGTAGCAACCCCCGGCCTCCTGGCAGCCCGGCAGGGACGTCGCCATCGATGGGAATCCCTCCACCTCCAATGCCGCCGATGCCTGTGGGGCGGGCTTGGGGAGATGTAGGGTTCAGGGTTTGGGGTTTAGGGTTTAGGGTGTAGGGTTTGGGGTTTAGGGTTTGGGGTTTCGGGTTTGCGGTTTAGGGTTTAGGGTTTGGGTGAGGATTTAGGGCTTATAGGGATAGGGAGCAGTAGGAGTTTTAGATTTTGCACTCGGGGGATAGATAAAGATTTGAAGCTTTAGAGCTTGACAGGTGTTAGGGTTTAAGGTTAGGAAAGAGAAAGCAATTCTTTTCGATTCGATGGCTTTTGGAAGCTTTTGGGTTTTAGTTTTGTCGAAAGTAGGATTTTTTCAGGAGTTTGAAGGGTGCGGGCATTCGGGATGTTGAGGTTTAACGATGTAAAGTCCAATCCTACGTGTTGAAGGGAGGGGCTCTGCGCCTTTTCAATTTCTAATTTGGGAACAGTGGGTCCTGGGTGTAACAGAAGGGCCTCAATAATCAGAGCAAAGCTTTGGAGTAATTGGGGTCTAGGGCCTAGGGCTAGGGACAAAAAGGAGCTACTATGCATTCACGGAGTCTTGGCAAGGGATGCAGAAAGAAGGGGAGATTGAGACGCAACGGTCCGACACTCTGAAGTACGGCTTCGGGTTCAGGGCTTAGGGCGCATGGCTGACCCCTAAAGCTTGAACCCCTAACCTCTTGAAGCTTGAACCCCTAGCCTCTTGAAGCCCTAAGCCCTGAACCCTGAAGCCTAAACCTCTCAACCCCAAACCCTCACATTTCACCCTGAGCTCTAAATCCTAAGCTGCGTCATCCCCCTAAACTCCGCGCAGCAGCCTGGAATGCCCGGCAGGCCCCCGCCCGGAAAAGCCGGGAGCCCCGGGATGATCTGCAGACGGCGAAAGGAATCCTCCGCGTTTAGGGCTTTAGAGCTGTAGGGTTTTTAGGGCCTCAGGGTTTGGGGGTTTAGGGCTCTATTTAAGGCTCTCTGAGAGTTTCCCTGGAACTACTTTGCGTTCAGGACTTCGGAAGTTGGATTTCGGAGCTGAGTGTGTAACTTGGGTGAGGGTGGGGGGGTTGGGGGTGGTGGGATGATGACGACATGATGATGACGCTCCCTGCTGCGACTCCTGCATCAAACGCAAGATTGTCGTGATGTACTCCACACTGGCACAGGACAAAACCTCGCGTTTTTACACTATTCATTTCAGACCTCTGCAACATAAACTCAGACATCTGAACCGACACACAACAAAAAAGACACGACTATCGGGATTCTGTGTTGTGATACAGGTGGCAATTACCAGCGAATTCGCTCCCCTATTTCAAATTCACCATGGGCCCCAGGGCGCTCACGATGTTCTTTGTGGTGCCAAAACCTTGCTTTGCAACATCTGCAGACACGTACTTCCAGTCTCAAAGTACGTACGAAGACCACATGTTCCGAAAAATGTAGTTCTGCTGCATAAGAACAAGATCTTTGGTATGTGTGGTGCTTACGAGCTCTTGCAACAACTTCTTCTGTTATACTTCGTCGACAAGACAAACCCTAGACCCTAAACCATAAACCCTAAGCACTCAATCCTAAACCCTAAACCCTAAACCCTAAGCCCTAAGCCCTAAGCCCTAAACTCTAAACCCTACCATGGTCTGCGGGAAACTCCCCGGGAGACTCGAGTTTGGAAGTGGGTCGGGCTGGGGGAGTTGAAGCTCGGCAGCTGGGGGCTGGGCCCCATGGCTTTCGATACCTCGATCGAGGTTCCTATATGGTTTAGGGTTTAGGGTTTAGGGTTTAGGGTTGGTTTAAGGTTTAGGGTTTAGGGTTTAGGGTTCCTATATAGACTCTATATGGGTTCCATAAGGGCGACTAGCTACTACAACAGTAACTGGTTGCCATAAGGGTTTCGATAAGGGTCTAGGTTTAGTATAAGCAAAAAGGGGTCCGATAAGAGAAGGGCTCTATCTCTAGGGGTTCTATCAGGCTTGTCAGGAGGTGCTGCAAGGGGCGCTAGCGTCCCCTGTTGTCAGCATCTTTATTGTTTCGCGACCTCCTGGGGTTTTAGGTGTGGCCCAGGGTTTAGGATTTAGGGTCATTGTGGGTTCAGGGTTTAAGTTTTAAGGTTCAGGGTTTAGGGCTTAGGATTTAGGGCTTAGGATTTTGGGTTTAGGGCCTAGGGCTTAGGATTTAGG